GACATGATAAATGTATTATCTGTAGGAAAACCTAGTTCACATGATGTCAGGGATTGGCTGAGGGCTCACGACCAATCAGAATTGAGGCATAAGGCCTTTGGTCTTTAAGGAGCTGATCAACATTCATGTTTTGAATATACTCACCAACAAGGTCTCTATGTGCACCATTATCTACAGAATTCCAGTTCCATGATACATTGGATTTCCAATTTGTCCATCCTTCATGATGTTTGGTTGTTAAAACAAAATACCTTCATATAAACATAAACATGGTCATTACATTAATTAATTGTTAATACAACTTATTAGATTTACCAAACCATGGTGAATGAAAAGCCAAACAGGTTTTACCACCAACTTCATAAGGCATTCTGGTAGATTCTATTAGAATTTTTAAAAGTCAACTGATTTTTGTAGAGAATGGAAAAAACTGAGAACCTGGAGAAAAAACCCTTGAAGCACAGAAGAGAGCCAAATAATAAACAACTCTACTCAGACACAACACCAAGCCAAGGAATCCAGCCTGGGTCACCTTCCTGAGAGGCTGTGCATTAGTAGCACACCACCTATGCTTCCCTAAAGTCTATGTTGCTGAAAACTATGAGTCACAAGGCAAGGCACATTTATGGCAAGTAACATAGTTCAGAGAATGAGGCATCCAGGACAAAATGCGAAGCAACAAACATATTTGATCCTACTTTCCTCATTTAGTCTATATTCAGGAAACAAACATTTTGTGGCATAAAAATCATAGGAAAACACTGGTCAGAACATAGATGTGAATAGCAATATAGCTAATTTTCAGGATCCTCCACCATATTGGATTTAGGTATATACGAGACACATGCATAGATTACATTAATATTTTTTTATCAGCCAATCAGATAGCGCATCACTATAATAAGAGCATGAGAACATTATAATCTGATTGGCTTACGCTGTTATCAGTTCAATCTCTGTCTAGTTTACTGTTATCTGATTGGTCAGTTTTATTCCAGTGGTCCAGGTTAGTGTGTCAGCACAGTAATGTCGTACAATGTGTAGTTCCAGAAATTTTTAAGACCCACCTACCCCCAAGGATTCCAATTTTCTTCCATGCATACTCTGTGTTTTTGTACTTTCTCTGTCCCCTTCCACCCCTCAGAAATTCCAAATTCCTCTATGGTGTAGGGAGGTGTGGATAATTTCTGGAACTACACAAATAATGCAAAAATAGCTCACTTGGCTCCAGAGTTTGCAATTAAATCAGCCCACTTCTCTGGTTCATATAATTCTGCTCTGAACATTGGACCAAAATCAGCATACGAAAAACCAGGTCGATAGTTCTTCTTCATAAATTCAATAAATTCAGGTTTGGACTCTCCCTTCCAGTACCACCAAAACCATTCTGAGCCAAAGCCAGGTACAGAGAACACACCCCAGTGGATGAAGATGCCGAACTTTGCTTTATCATACCATGGTGGAAGGGGTCTTTTGTCAAGTGATTCCCAAGTGGGAAGGTACTTGGTGTGGACAAATACAGAGCTCATAAAGGTCACCATCAACGTGAAATAAATCATGGATGCCATAGCTTTGCAACAACAGAGGCTGAAACAGTGAAGAAAAACTCTATTGAATTGAGATCCTTTAAATATAGCAGGCCTGTCGCTAGAGTAGTATAGGGAATGGGGGTTC